TATACCCTTTAATTCTTTATTTTTGTATTGACTTTAGAAAAACATTATCTACATAAATGAAATTAAATAAGTTACATTAGATCTCATATATCATAATATTAATCTTGAAGATTTTTATGATAATTTATATTAAAATAGTTACAATAGTCACTGAAATCCGTAAAAAAGAAAAAAAAAATCCATCACTTTAAAATCTTCCAAAATCGAAACACTAATAACCCATTCTCCCTCCTTTTTTTTTTTTTTTTTTTTTTTGCGATTTTTCCATTCCCAAACTTGGTATATTGAAAGCCTAACCATCAAGATCCTTTAGAAACCTTAATTATCTTACGCTAGTTGAACAAGAATGGTTTCATCTCCTGTCCAAGATGATGCGCTGAAGAAACTTGAATAACTCTCTCTCGTCTCCAAAGTCAGCTCCGAACTCGAGAGCCATGTAGGGTTTTCCGACGAGGTTTTGGCCGAATTCATCACCGACATGGGCCGCCATTCCGAGACTGTTGATGAATTTGATGCCAAGCTGAAAGATAACGGCGCCGAGTTACCTGATTACTTTGTCCGCACACTTCTTACTATTATCCACGCGATTCTGCCGCCAAAGCACAAGGCCGAGAAGGAATCTAAGAAAGAAAACGCCGGTGATGGTAAGAAGGCGAAATTTAAAGCTTTAGCGATTGCAGATGATAAAGATAGGGCGAAAGAGCAAGAGAAGGAAATTGAGATGGAGACGCGAGACCGACGAAAAGAAGAGGATAGAGATAGAGACAAACATAGGAGGAATAGATATAAAGAGGATAGGAGCGATTATGGCAGTGTAGGAAGAAATGGGGATCGAACCCGAGATAGTAGAGGCGGTGAGGAGATTATAGGAACAGAGGCAGGATTAGGGACCGTGATAATGTGAAAGTTGATGAAGATAGGGAGAGGAGTAATGGGAGGTACAGGGATAATGAGCCTGAGTTGTATAAGGTATACACGGCGAGAATTTCGAGAGTGATGTATACTGCTTGTTTTGTGCAGTTGAATGAGTTAAGGGGAAAGGAGGGTTTGGGTCATGTTTCCCAGATGGCTAGTAGGAGGATTTCGAATGCTCAAGATGTTCTAAAACGGGATCAGGAGGTTTATGTGAAGGTAATTTCAGTTTCGGGTGAGAAGTTGAGCTTGTCTATGAGAGATGTTGATCAGAATACTGGTAAGGATTTGCTTCCTTTGAAGAAAATTTCTTATGATTATGCATCCAGGACTAATCCTTCAGGGGGGAAAGAGGGGCCTGTGATGAGAACTGGTCTTTCAGGGATTAGGATTATGGAGGATGAGGATATTGTCCCATCGCGTAGGCCATTGAAGAGAATGAGTTCACCAGAGACATGGGAAGCCAAACAGTTGATTGCTTCCGGTGTTCTGAGAGTAGATGAGTATCCCATGTATGATGAGGACGGAGATGGAATGCTTATCAAGAAGAGGGAGCTGAAGAAGAGCTTGAGATTGAGATGAATGAGGATGAACCAGCCTTTTTGCAAGTGCAGAGTAGGTATTCTGTGGATATTTCACCAGTAAAGATATTTAAGAATCCAGAAGGGTCCTTGAGTCGTGCTGCTGCTCTCCAGTCTGCACTTATTAAGGAACGGAGAGAAGTACGGGAGCAGCAGCAGAGGACAGTGCTTGATTCAATTCCAAAGGATCTTAATCGTCCTTGGGAAGACCCTATGCTGGAGACTGTTGAGAGGCATCTTGCACAGGAGCTTAGAGGTGTTGCATTGTCTGCATATGATATGCCTGAATGGAAGAAGGATGCTTTTGGAAAAGCTTTGAATTTTGGGCAGAGGTCTAAACTTTCCATCCAAGAGCAGAGGCAGAGCCTGCCCATTTATAAACTGAAAAAGGAACTGATTCAGGCTGTGCATGATAACCAGGTTCTGGTTGTCATTGGTGAGACTGGTTCGGGTAAGACTACCCAGGTAACCCAGTACCTTGCTGAGGCTGGGTACACTACAAGGGGTAAGATTGGATGTACTCAACCTCGTAGGGTGGCTGCAATGTCTGTTGCAAAGAGGGTTGCTGAGGAATTTGGTTGTCGTTTAGGGGAGGAAGTTGGGTATGCTATTCGTTTTGAAGATTGTACTGGACCAGATACTGTCATAAAGTACATGACTGATGGTATGCTTCTTAGGGAGATTCTGATTGATGAGAACCTTTCTCAATACTCGGTCATTATGCTTGATGAAGCTCATAAGCGTACAATTCACACTGATGTCCTTTTTGGGTTGCTGAAGCGGCTTGTGAAACGGAGAACTGATCTTCGTCTGATTGTTACATCTGCTACACTGGATGCAGAGAAGTTTTCAGGGTATTTCTTCAACTGTAATATTTTCACAATTCCTGGGAGAACGTTCCCTGTGGAGATAGTGTATACAAAACAACCAGAAAGTGACTAACTAGATGCTGCTCTGATAACAGTCCTAGAGATACACTTGACTGAACCTGAACGTGACATTCTCCTCTTTTTGACTGGTCAGGAGGAAATTGATTTTGCATGCCAGTCTCTTTATGAGAGGATCTAAGGGCTAGGTAAAAATGTTCCTGAGTTGATTATTTTACCAGTTTATAGTGCCTTTCCTAGTGAAAGGCAGTCTAGAATATTTGATCCTGCCCGTCCTGGGAAGAGGAAGGTGGTGGTGGCAACCAATATTGCTGAGGCTTCTTTAACTATAGATGGAATATTCTATGTGGTTGATCCTGGTTTTGCAAAACAAAATGTCTATAATCCAAAGCAAGGGCTTGATTCCCCGGTAATAACACCAATTTCACAAGCATCAGCCAAGCAACGTGCTGAATGCTGGGCATGCTGGGCATACTGGACCTGGAAAATGCTACCGCTTGTACACTGAGAGTGCATATAGAAATGAGATGTTTCCTACCTCTATTCCAGAAATCCAAAGGATTAATCTTGGCATGACAACACTAACAATGAAGGTGATGGGCATAAATGATCTACTTTCTTTTGATTTTATGGATCCGCCTGCACCCCAAGCTCTCATTTCTGCCATGGAGCAACTGTACAGTCTAGGAGCTCTAGATGAGGAGGGACTTTTAACTAAATTGGGTACGAAAATGGCGGAATTTCCTCTTGATCCTCCACTATCGAAATGTTACTGGCCAGTGTCGACCTTGGGTGTAGTGATGAGTTATTGACAATTATCACAATGATCCAAACAGGTAACATCTTTTACAGGCCAAGGGAAAAGCAAGCTCAAGCTGATCAGAAGAGGGCCAAAATTTTCCAGCCTGAGGGAGACCATTTGACTCTACTTGCTGTATATGAGGCTTGGATAGCTAAGAACTTTTCTGGGCATTAGTGTTTGAAAATTTTATTCAGTCACGATCCTTGAGGAGGGCACGGGATGTCAGAAAACAGCTTATCAGTATAATGGATAAGTATGTTCTAGCTTTTGGTTTTATAATATCTTGTTTTTGCAAATTATCTCTGGTCTCCATATTTTCTTCCTGTTTATGCATTTATGGGTTTACGATTTTAACTGTGTCAACTGTGTCCTATACTCTGATGGTAACTTTCTTGCAATGTTAATTTGGGATGTATCATCGCTAGTGGAACATATATTTACTAATGTTTGACTTGATTATTACTACAATGATATGCGCTTACTTCAGTCGCTTTGACAAGTTGTACTAGATGTTGTTTGAGCTTAATTAGCTAGCAAATTTCTCACCAACCTGCGTTCCAAGTTTCTTACTTTTAGGTGCTGTACTAGAGATTGTGGATGTGTCATTAGGAGAATGAAAAGCTAATTGTGGATGTCTCTGATTCTATGAACTTGTTTTATTGCTTTTGTATTATTCTGCTAGTAGTTTCTTATTAGAAATAATCTTAACAACCAGCCAAACTTTCTCTCACTTTCTCTTCTATTCATCTGTTTGAATCTGTTGTGTTCGCTAGTACGAGTATTAATACCTTTTAATGGTTTAAAAGTTTTGCTTCTCCAACGAGGTTCTAATGCGAAAGTTGATGCTTTTTCAGGTACAAATTGGATGTTGTCAGCGCTGGAAAGAGCTTTACAAAGATCAGGAAAGCTATCACAGCAGGGTTCTTTTTCCATGCCGCTAGGAAGGACCCGCAGGAGAAATGTAGAACACTGGTCGAGAACCAGCCTGTTTATATTCACCCAAGTAGTGCCCTTTTCCAGAGACAACCGGACTGGGTGATCTACCATGAGCTGGTAATGACTACAAAGGAGTACATGCGAGAGGTAACAGTGATAGATCCTAAGTGGCTAGTTGAACTGGCACCTAGATTCTTCAAAGTGGCAGATCCCACAAAAATGAGCAAGCGGAAGCGCAAGCGTCAAGAACGTATTGAACCACTTTATGATAGATATCATGAGTCTAATTCTTGGCGTCTGAGTAAACGAAGAGCTTGATATGTTTGTGTGGTTGGTCACAGAGTTATCTTGCTTCTAATTCACCTTGTAATTCTTTTTATTTATTTTTTCCCTGTATAAATTTGTCCTGTTGCTCCCTATATGTTGCTTTTCAATTAAAGTTGTTAGAGGAATTAATTAATTGTACCAATTAATTTTAGATAAGGTCTAAAGTTAAGAACTTTGATAATTTTGAAGTAAAAAGTGGTAGTTTGATTTGAATTCAAATAATGTATGTGCATGTGGCTTAGATTTTTCTAGTTTTAGTATATTAGGTTGTTGTACAAGTAATTTGTTGGTTTGAAAGTTGAAATAGAAAGAAGTGGATTTTTGGTTAAGTAGAACCTTGCGGTTTCCTACATATCTTACTTGGGCATTTAAATTTTTTTTGTTCAATTAAAATGGTTATCTAGGTTTAATTTTGAAAAAACTATGGGGCTTACTTAGTTTTTAAAAAAATATGGGGCTTTTGAGATTGAGAGTGGTAAAACATCTTCAATAGTATATAAATATATAAATAAATAAATATATATATATTGAGAAATAGTAGCGTCATTAATTAATTAATTAATTAAAAAGAAGTACAATCAGAATCAATTATTATCATCACTTGTAGAAAGTCTGAGCAATCCTCAACCCACCCAGTACTCGTCTTGTCTCCCATCCAGAGCATGTCTGAATGCTGCTGTATGCTCAAGCAACTAGCATATACTCCATTTGAACTCATTTCTATTCTGCCATTCTACTACTCTTCCAGGATGCAAGAGATGGAATGCTTTGCTCATATCTAAAAAAGTTGCCTGCATCAACCATACTTTTTACTTGTACCAGTCTGTCAAAATTTCCCTTGAAATACTTTCTTCCCCATATCTCAGCCTCTGAGTAGCTTGCATTGCCAATTTCATTGATCCCTATGTCCACATCTCTGTAGTTCAGATACGAGCTCCTGGGAGATTTTGATACATAAGGTGTCATATAATCATAAAGCCTTGCAATCGGATCTAAAGCCTCGACTTCACGCTCTTTCCAAGTCACTGAGTATTGGATTTTGTATATGTTCCCTGCTCTGTGAGGAAATGGAGTTTCTGACTCTGAAATCTCACTCATTTTCCCACCATAAGGATTCAAGGTCAACGCTGGTCTTCCTAGTTCAATCATTTTCTTCCAAATCCCTTCAAGATTCTTCTTGGAAATTGGCTCCTGCACATAGTCTGATTTCTTCTTCAAGTACTTTTCTGGTTTAGGTTGTCGATTGAGCAAAACCTCCAAGGATGTTCCCTTTGGATAATTAGACCAAAACAGGACTGACTCAATCCAGCTCATTTCAATACACATCTCAGGCGATAAACCCAATTCGGGAAATCTTCCATTCATTAGCGAAACAAGTTTTTCAGCATTTCCAAGAAACAACGCGTTGAATTTAGCTTTAATGGACTGCAGACGCATTTTAGTAACTGTTAGCAATACCACTCTAATGAACAGATTCTCATCTATTTTATCTGCAATATATTGCCATTTATCAACAATATCTGTTGCACCTTGTTCTAATGTTTTTTCCACTCTAAAAACAGTAACAACTTCTGGGACAGAAACTAACTTGATTTTCCACGAAAGAATGACTCCAAAGCTAGCTCCACCACCTCCTCTGATGGCCCAAAACAGATCCTCTCCCATTGACTCTCTATCCAAAACTCTGCCAGCAGCATCGACTAGCTTTGCATCAACAATATTATCAGTAGACAAGCCATATTTTCTCATCATGTTACCATAACCGCCTCCACTGAAATGACCACCGATACCTACTGTAGGACAAACTCCAGCTGGGAAGCCATGGATCTTACTCTTTTGAGCAATTGCATAGAAAAGTTCACCCAATGTGGCACCAGACTCAACCCAAGCACTTTGATCCTCTATGTTGACGCTTATAGATCGAAGATTGGACATGTCAAGGATCATAAAAGAAGCTGTTGATACATAAGAAAGGCCATCATAATCGTGTCCACCGCTGCGAATTCTCATTTCCAAGCCATGAATTTTGCAGCAAATGATTGACGCCTGGATGTGAGAGACATGGGAGGGAAGCACAAGGAATAGAGGCTTAGGGGTTGCGGAAGAGCTGAATCTAAGATTTCTGATGTACGATTGTAAAATTGACGGGTAGGAAGGATGGGTGGGGAAGTAAGTGACGGAAGAGATGGGTATGGAGGCGACAGAATGGTTGGAAAGGCATTGAAGAAGAACGCTGGTTTCTTGGGGAAGATCTGAAATTGACATTGAATTACAGACAAGTGATAGATATGTGAAGACTGCTAGATTCCTTATTATATTACATTCCATTGCCCAAATTAAGGATTTGAGGTTTACAACAAACAATCGGCGTTGGACATGGAGTTGAGCTGGAGTGGTAATAAAAACATAAAATAGACTTTCTCAACCTTACGTCCACCTCTAAATTAGTTGACTCCAACAAATGGGATTCCCTTGTTTTAACCATCTTTTTGTTTTGTTTTATAATTTTTTGCCAATAAAAGTAAATTATGCTTCTTTCTGTTTTTCTTTTACTTAATTTTATGAAAACCGAAAGCGGCATCTATATATGGTGAAGTTTTCAATTAAAAAAAGTTAAGTAAAAACTAAAGAGTGAAATTAAAACCAAAAAAATTGATAAAAATGTATAAATTAATATTTAAAAATATGATAATTTGTACTTTCAACGTTCAAATAATACATCATGTTAAATTAAACAAAACTTAACTCATTCATGTAACACCTAACCAGTATAATAAGATATGAAAATGCTAAATATTTTATGAAAATTGAACCTAAAGATCATGTTGATGCATATCCAACAATTAGCCTTTTTGAGCGAGACTTTTGTCATCTAAGTAAACAAGGATATATTTTTCAAAGCATTGCTGAAAAGACTTTTTCATGGAATATGCTCTCGTTATTATTATAATTTGAATTAATATAATATTTTATTTGAATATCGACGTGTAAATTGTAATTTTTTCATATACCAACCTACATATTTTTTCAAAGACAGAGTGCCAAATTTGTAATTTATCTTAACAAATTAGGAAAAACTATCTTTTATTGAAAAGAATGCAACCAGCAATACTACTGCCAATAAAATATTTATTGATACATAAGGAATTGCAAATGATGAGTTCACTAAATATCCCAGGTAATCTTCACTAGTTATGAACGAGTTGGAATACTTTGCTCATAGGTGAAGAAATTGTCAGGATCAATCCTCGTCTTCACATCCACCAATCTATCAAAATTATCCTTGAAATATTTTCTTCCGTAAACTTTTCCTTCTTCCAAAGTAGCATTTATATTCGTGCCAATGTCAATATCCCTATAGTTGAGAAATGACTCCCGTGGATTCTTGGACACGTAAGGAGTCATGGCTTCATACAGCTTCATGGTCCAATTCAAGAAATTGTCTGTGATCTCCTTCCCTGGGTTTTTCCAGTTGGAACTATATTGAATCTTGAATATATTCCCTGCCCTGTGGGGGAAAGGAGTGGCTGTGGGTAAAATCTCACTCATTTTCCCTCCATAAGGATTCCAGTTCATACCCACATTCTCTGCTTCTATCATTACCTTCCAGATGCCTTCCAAACCTGCCTTGGGGATAGGTTGTTGGACATAATCGGATTTACGCTTCAAAAAGCTTTCACTCTTAGGAATCCTTTGGAGCAAGACATCTGTTTCTGATACATTTGGATGGTTGATCCAAAAGAGAACAGATTCCACCCACTTCATCTCCATGCAATCTTTTTTCCGTAAACCCAGTTCTGGGAAGCTCTCATTCATCAACTCAAGAAGCCTTTCGGTTTGCCCCAAAAACATGGCAACAAAAGATGCTTGTATCGTCTTCTCGTCTGTAGCACTTGATCTATTTTCGGGGCTTAACATCAATCTTATAAAAAGATGTTCATCCAGCTTATCCGCAACCTTTTGCCACTTGACAACAAGGTCAGTGGCTCCTTCCTCCAGGGTCTTGGCTACCTCGAAAACAGTCACTGTTTCAGGAACCGAAACCAACTTGATTTTCCACGAAAGAATAACACAAAAGCTAGCAGCACCCCCACCTCTTATGGCCCAAAAGACATCTTCTCCCATAGATGCTCTATCGAGAATTCTACCGTTAACATCAACAATATTTGCATCAATTATATTGTCAACCGAAAGGCCATACTTTCTCATCATGTTTCCGTACCACCACCAGTGAAGTGCCCGCCAACACCAAGCGTGGTACATATACCGGCAGGGAATCCGTGGACAGGACTTTTCTCTGCAATCCTGAAATAAACTTCTCCGAGGCTGGCCCCAGCCTGAACCCACGCACTTTCATCTGTTACATTTATATCAATAGATGCAAGGTTAAACATATCAAGAATAACAAAAGGAACATTGGATACATAAGAAAGGCCCTCATAATCGTGGCCACCACTCCGGATTCGAATCTGCAAGCCAACCGATTTTGAGCAAATAACAGTTGCTTGGACATGGGATTCATGCAAGGCGGTGACAATAGCAAGAGGTTTAGGGGTTTCAGGTGTCATGAATCGGAGATTCCTTACATATGACTGTAACACAGATGAAAATGAAGAGATTTTAGGGGTGTAGATGGCTCCAGCGATTGGATTACTGGGTTGAGATTGCTTGGAAAGGCATTGAACAAAGTTGTCTAGAAATAAGTGTGAATTTGCCAATGAAAAAGAAACAAAAAGCAAGGAAAAGGCAGACTGAATTGCAGCTGCTGTGGTCTTCATCTTTGGGTTTGCGCTTCAGCACAGAGTCATGAAAGTTCCTTTTATGAAGATTGATTCTACCGTGAAAATCCAATCCAAGGTAAAAAATTATATGGCATTGAATTAATTTCTTGCGTTAATCTTTTCATTTAAAGAAAGATAATTGAATTGTGAAACCGTGATATTAGGATTAATTTATAATTAATTTATCCACATAAATGAGCATATATGTAGGCTAAATACCATTTTTAGCTTAGACAAAAAGATACGTGTCAGCTAAGGAAATTGTAAATCCATATGAGATTAGGAAGTTACTTAATGCCTGCTTTTATCCACTAAAAACCTTTTTTTTAAAAAAAAAATTGTTCAATATAGATAACTTATAATAGTGACATATGAATAATTTTTATCAATCATTAAGTGTCCTATATTAATTATATTTATTCATATTTGTTTCTCTTTAAATTGATATGAATTGATTTGATCTTATAAAAAATTTTAAAATATGTCAATACATTAATTATATTTATTTTCTTTTATATTTTTAATAAAATATTCTAAATTATAAATTAAAGCTAAATCAATGATACATTATAATTAAAGAATTTTTTAATTATTCAAATAATTAATAAAAACTATAATTATGGTCATTAAATACATATTTTTAATGATTCAAATAACTTCTATTAAAATCTAATCAGAAATGTTATAAAAAATTTAATAACCATTATAATTACAATTCAAAGTTGACTCTTTAATTAATTATTTGATACATTCATATTTAATTAAATATGATATTTAATTGAGTAATAGATGTTATTTATGTATAAATATATATATAATGTAATAATTTTATATATTTATATAAGATTAATGATACATTATAATGTTAGATTTTATATATAAGGGTTGTGATCAATAAGCCGTGCATCCCTTATATATTAATTGCTCAAATTAATTAAATCAATAAAATGGGATCACAATTAAGTTAATGATAAAATAATATATCTAATTAATTCTCCATTATTAATATTTCAATTTCAACTAAATGGTAAAACTAAATCTTTTTTTTAATTTGACAAATTAAATCAATCAATATATACGAATATGAAATTTTATTGTAAAATATAATAATATTTTGCAACGATTTTTTCTGTCATTGCAAATTGTGGTTGCTAAAAGTCATATTTCTATTAGTGAACGTTGGGAAGAGGATATTTGGTTGTGGATTCAATTGTTTGCATTTAAATATATTGTTTTGGTGATGATGGGATGTGTTTAAGCAGTGCAATGCGATGAGGTAACATTTTCAAAATTGACAAAAATAATGGAACAAAAAGTTACCTATATATAAAAGTGCATTAAGACTAATCACTTGCTGTTTTGAGTGTGCATCAGGGGAGGCAATAGAAATGTTATTGGTGGATGATGTAAACTAGGGTTCGGGAGTAGAGTTGGCCAACTTCAGAGTATGAATTGGAAACTCCAGAGCTAGATTTCTTCCAGAAATCAAATCAAGAAACTATAGGATTGGATACTTAAAAAAAAAAAACAAGGAAACTGCAGGATTAGAGGTTGAATGTTAGCAAAAGAGAACTTATTTTCATAAAAAAAAATCTTCCTTAATCGATTAACAACTAGATTCAACAAAAATAGTAAAGAGAAATATGGCAAAACATTATTATTTGTATTAATTTTTTTGTCCAATATTATTATTTTATTATTGAATATTTATGATTTTTGCAACTGTTATACTCATTTTTTTATTATTTATTGATTTTTGCAACCGTTATAATTAACTTGTTAAATGAAAAATTTACTCACTGATATTTATTTTTCCTTTGTAGATATAGCTTTTTTAAGTGTTTTTTTTGTTTTTTTAGATATAGCGTTAGATCTTAAGTTAGTACAATAAAATTATTTATTAATAAAAAATAAAATACCAAAAGTTATCCTATATATTATATATATTTAAGTAAAGTTAATTTTTGCACTATTATTAATAAAATATTATTGATTGTGTTTTAGGGTGTTGGTAGGAAGGGAAGTAGCTTGATGGCTGTATGAAGGAAATATGGTTATGGTGCATTGGAGTTGGTTCTTTGGGATACACTTTGACATTTAATACAATCAAATATATAAGATTTTGGTAAAGAAGGAGGTGTGCTGTAAGTGCTTAAGAAGCTTAAAGAGGAAAGATTCTTAGTTCATATCGTATGTGGATCTTTTTTTTTCGTTATATATGTGAAAAAGGGTAGTGACATGGTTATGATAGTTGACAAGTGATGATAAATACATGTAGAGCTTAAGAAAGGGCTGCGTGGGTGATTGTGACTACATTTAATGATCCCAAGAAAGTTGGAGGCCAATCAATTTATTATGAAATGATGCCTTAATTGGACGTTAGTGAAAATAGTTAAGCAAGTCCCTTCTTGGTGAGGGCAAGCCCACTTTATGGCAAGGGGTCTAAATGTTGACCCTCACTTATGGTGACATGGTGATCAGGCATGTGTTAACTTGGCAATCAAGGGAGTTGATATTATTGATCGAGTAAATAGGTACAATAAAAACAAAATATCAAATGCTAGTGTGGCAAGTGCTTAATGGCATTATACTAATAATGGAAAAACTCAAGAGTAGAATGCTTCAAGTTGACCCAATGTGCTTTAGATGTGGGGAAAAATATGAGATAGTGATGACTGCACAAAATATAGCTTTTCTTAGGTCATTTTGCCTTCAAATTTTGAAATATTTTTATGAATTCATTTCATTTTATGCATTAATGTATTGAATTTTTTATTTTCAAATTTGCATGAAGAAATTAGACAAGTTGGATGAAAATGGCAAAAACCATGCAAGCCATGCAAAGGTGATAAGGAAGGTAGCCATGCATGAGAACCATGCAATGCATGTAAAGGTGACGAGCACCATTTGACCAAAGCTTGAAGATCCATTCAACTATGCATATAAAAGGAAGGCTAAAATTTATGCAAAGTTGACAACATGCAGCCCAGGTTCTAGTCGAATTAAAAAGCCCAATAGTGCAGGTTTGCATGTTTGGCCAAAAAAAAAAGATTGCATGAGAACTCTTTCAAATTTAAAAGAGTTTGAAGCTAAATGAAACAAATCAAGAAGAACATGCAAGCAAATTCAAAAATCAGCCGAATCTCTCATATCCTCATTCAAATTTCAAAATGTAGTTGACTTGTCATGGACACCTAAGCATGGAAGGCATAAGTGGACCAATCCAAGAGTGTTATTTGACCATACAGACTCCACTTCTTGCAAGGGCTTTATCCTTTCAGCTATCTCATTCAAATTTAAAAAGATTACAATTTTAAATTCAAATGAGTTTAAGCTAGAATAAGAGTGTCTAGGTTCATCCCCTTAGCCCAAGCCATGTATTATAAATAGCCTACTCTAGCTCACTTGTAAATCATCCATCATCCTTCATTCCATTTCTTTTTTTTTTTTTAGTTTCAATTTTTCATTTAAAGTTCTTGTAATTTTTCTGCTTCATTCGACTAGGGTGATAGACTTGCCAAATTTTTTTTGTTTTTCAAAACTCTCTTTTGATACAAGTTTAGTTCACATTTTACTTAAAACTTTTCTTTATTTACTTTTCGAGCAATCAAGTTTAATTTTAAAGTTCTTTTTAAGCTTTTTTCATTTACTTTCTACACTTGCTATTTACTTTAGGTTTAGCTGCTCTTATTTTTCCTAAAAGCATTCAATTCTTTATTTTTCATTTCCATTTATATTTCATCGCAATTTGCCTTTTTCTTTTCTTGCTCTATTTGGATACCACAATTGCTAGCAAGTTTTCATTTTGTTTAGCATTGTAATCGACTTTTACATTTTCAGCATTTTTGTTTTGCTTTCATTTTAATCTCCAACCATTTTCAATTTGTCTAAATATAAAGTTGAAAGAATCAATTTTGGTACTTGGTTTTGATCAACACCCATTCTATAATCTTTGAAAGAATGATACTCTACTCACATATTTTATTACTTGAATACAATCTATGTACTTGCAAACTAAAAAGTAGCAATTAGTCAGTCATGCATGCGATAAAAGATTACCTTTATACTAATAATATCTGGAAGTTAATGAATATAGCAATTGACATCCAAGAGGTCAAACTAATATCACATGCTAGGTATGGCAAAATTGTTTGTCATTAAATAAGCAACAACTACAACTTTATATGACAACAATATGGGCTATAAGGGGAGTCAGAAATAATAAATTACATGGTGAAAACTGTAGGGAACTAAGAGAGATTGAGACTTTCATTATAAGATAGCTCAAGTGCACCAAACAAGTGATATAGCTCCAATTTAACAGTGGATACCCCCAAGTAATGGTCTCCTCAAAGTTAACTTTGATGCAGCATTAGATTTACAGAAAAAAAAAAAGGGTGAGGCAAAGGCAACTATGCAAGCATTATAAGCAACACAAGATATGTAATTTACAAAAATCATCATTGAAGGGATGCATTAAATATAATCAATCTTGAAGTTTGTCCAACCAGATTTGTTAGCTTCTAGAGTTTATACAAAGGAAGCAAAGGCAAATATGAGACACTTTCAAATTTGCCATGTGTCACATATGCTAAAATGTGGCAATATAGCCTCACACTTGTTAGCCAAACATACCCTAAATATTGTGGAGGATTGTCCCACTAGCACTATGTTTGGATTAAGGGAAAGAGAAGGAAAGGAAAGGAAAATAAAGAAAAGTAATGGGAAAAAAAACATTTCATTTGTTTAGATAAACTTTTAATTTAAAGGAAAAGGAAAATGTGAAAACCTAATAACTTTTGATTTCTCTTATAATCCTTAATTTTTTTAATATTTTAATTTGAGAGAAAAGCAAAGAAAAAGAAAGTTGAAAAAATTTTATTTTTATAAAAAGACTATTATATCTATATTTTTATTATGATATTAGATTTAATTATATAACTGACACCTTCTATATATTTGTTTATTATATGTCATAACATATAGATCCATAAATTTATAACTAGACTTAACAAATGGATGGAGTCATCACCAATCTTTTTTAACTAGGTGTGATTGGCCACTTAAGGAATCTATCATTTTAAAGAACTTCTAAGCTTCACTAAGGGTCGCTAAAAAAATAGGTTCGGATCTATAAA